CCCCAAAACCCCAAAACCCCAAAACCCCAAAACCCCATGAGTAACGATAACTATACCTTATAGAACATTTGCCGATATTAATAAAATAATTCAATATCGTAATTAACTTATTGTAATATAATTGAAATGAAGCTTAAGCTTATATAAATCTTATTTTTGACAGCTGTCTTGCTGGCATTGATGTCAAATGATGTAGTAATGAAGAGTACAGGGACAACAAGGTCAACCTCAAGATCCTATACACCATCTAGATCAACATCGAATTATTATTCTAACAGAGTCTCCAATTTCAGATCAACATACGTAGTAGCGTATGGTCCAAACGGCTATTATTATAGAAGATCAGGTGCAGGTGGTGGGACATGGTGGATTATTCTCATAGCAGTGGCTGTTCCAATAATAGCATTTATAATACTGTTCTTTTGCGTATGCATGTGCAAGCACTAATGGTTTAGAGAAAAAGTTTGCAAATGTATCAGCTGTAATTATTGTGAATCTTGCTAAGGATGCTGCGATAGAAAATAGTCCAGCATAGTTTATAATACAAATGTAACATCAGGAGCCTAAGGAGAAACTTAATAATTCAAAGGTAATTAACTCTAGTTAGATGATCAGATGAAGACAAGATAGCTTGAGTACACATAGACTGGAATGCTAGTAGATAATAGCCTCTATATAAATTAAAACAATTCTACTTTGCCGCCGTAAAATTATCCTCTGGAAATGCAAATACCACCTGGCTAAGGTTACCAAAATATGATACAAAATCCATATGGAAATCCCTCACCTATGGGTTACTAATAAATGCCTTATAATGCGTATCCTGTTACTTAAGTGGAATATTAAAACACATCTTAACTAACAGCTCACACAAATCAAATTTTACCAATAAATGATCCAAATCAGTAAAACTACTATCACCCATAATGAGAAGCTTACCTAAGAAAACATTCCATTTGCTCTATATTGAGACAATTTAGTACACCGGTTACATTTTTATATTAAGCAAAATACTTTATTTATCTTAATAATGCTTATTTCTAATTTTAGCAATTTCTAAACAGATGGGGTTTTGGGGTTTTGGGG